TTTTAAATTAGATATTTTTTTTATATACCTTTATTAAAGTCTCTCAAAATATTTTTTATTTCGAAAATATTTGGTATTCAAATATTTTATAATTTAATAAGAATTTTCAAATTATATATTATAAGAGTACCGTTATATTTTATCGATTAAATAAAAGACTATCTCATATTTGATCACAATATAATTTAGAAATAAAATATGTTTTAAGTGACTTCGTTTTCTGATTACAATTCAGTATTCAGCAAATACAAGTATATCAAATGAATTTTGTAAATACATGTTAATTTGTGCCTTATAACGACTACATCATAAAAGACCGATATATTACCTCACATTTTAGATCACAAGTATCATTATTTGTTAAGGATTTGGAAAAAATTATATTTTAGTGAAAATATCTGTGTAAGATATAATACTATATGATTATTATTTTATTGTGTATATGTAATTTATAATCCATATTACTAATACCACTAAATTTTGTAAAATAGATTAATAAAATTTTTACAAACGATTTGTAATATTTTATTAATTTCAAGGTTATACTGTTGGTATTTTTGTAATATTTATTGATAATCATTGTCTTGCGTATAATAGTAATCCTTTTTGTTTTCAATCAAAATTTTAATTAAAATTTTTTTTGGTATATATGTCTTTTGCTCTTTAATTAATATTCGTTAATTATAAGAAAAAAGATTATTAATAATATTTATAATATATTATTAATATTTAAATAATATTAATAATATTTTAGTATATTTTTAGTAATTATTTAATGAAACATATTTCCATACAAGTTATAATTTAAAATTAGAAACTAAAAAATTTTTTATTTGAAACTACGCCTATTTTGTCTATTATAAAATTAAATGAAATTTTAATTATACAATTATATTTTAAAGAAAAAAGTATTATTATATTATTATATTATTTATTTAAAAAATTATATAATAAAAGAATGCGAGAAAAAATTAATGTTATTTATTGCAATATTTCATCAATACATAAGTAATCCATTGAATTAAAATTTTTAAAAAAATTTTTTTATATATAATTTTAAAGTACATTGATGAAGTCTAACTGGAATAAAAAGTCTTTATCTTAGTAACTTTAAAATATTTAATTACATCATTTATTTTAATTTTTGAAAACATCGGTACGATAGTATGTCAATTGTAATGAAATGTAAATCAGTTTTCTTTTAAAGATATAACTTCGTCATATCCCGTTAAAAATACTTAATAAGGTATATAAAATAAATAGATTTATATATTATCCGGTATTGATAAATTTTTTGAAAAAGCAAAAATAATATTTTTTCAGCTCACAGCTTTATACTTATACTATATTAAAATATTTGATAAAAGGTCTGAAAAATTTTAAATTGTAGTAAAGAAGTATTTTATAAATTTTGTTATTTATCATTGAAACCGTTTATTGTATTTTGGATAAATATTAATATATACTATTTATAGTATATATCTTAATAATTGTTTTGCCGATGTTTGTAGTAAAATTCATCAACGTATTGATTATATATATTATTTGAATAGTTTATAAAAAAGTCAAAAGTATACACATATTATAAGATTTAATGACATTAAATTATTAATTTTAATCATATATTTTTAAATACATTAGTATTTTGATTATATACAATTTTAGAAATAAAAATATTTTGAGTAAGTAAATAATCATTATTTGTACATAAATATTTTCTCATGGATCAATATTGAACGGACCATTTATAAAAAAATTAAGTGCATACGTGTAAGTAATAATGTAAACAATATATTGATTAAGTTTTTCTATTTGAAAATCTAAATAACTTATTATTAATAGAAATTAATTTTTATAAAGACACTTTGAAAAGATAAAATTTAAATAAATGTATTTTAAAAAGAAAAATGAAATTAGTTATATTTAACTGTTTAAAGTTAATAACAAGTAGTAATAAAAATATATTGAAGCGTGCTGCTTTGCTCTAAATTAAATCAACAATTCGTAGGTCGAGAAATTCATTTGAAATTATTGTTTATATACTAAAACAATGTATACATTTAATTAGATTTTTTTATTAAAATTTCATAATAAGTAATAAATTAATAAAAATATTTTTAATTCATAGACAAAAAGAAAAATTATAAAAAAAATTATAATTTTAACGTTTGAAATTTGATGAAGAAAAAATATTATCAAGTTATTCTTATAATAATACATTTGCTATTAGTTGATTTATTTGAATTGATAAATAAGCTTTTGTAAATGGTTTCCGTTTAATATTAATTAATATGTTTGAAATTCTGATTCTTATTACAATAATAGGAAGTTGTATACATAAGCAAGAATGTGTTACTAATTCGTATGAACGTTTTTTGATTGCTCAAATATAATAGTAAAATAAAGTCTGTTATGTTTTATATGTAGTAGCTTCTTATTTGAGAAATTTGCAGATGCTTGAAATTTATTTATTTTTCGCATAAGAAAACGTTCCCTTTAATCGTCTCATTAAACCCTCGTTTAATTTTTACATAAATCTATTTGAAAATTGTCTAAAAAACTTACAGTTTTTTAGTTTATTTCACGGCCATTTCAATATTAGATCTAAATGGAATAATTTTACCCAATTAATTAAATTATAATCGATATAGATCTTTAATTATGTTTTTAAAACTTTCTTTCAAGTAATTGTACTGTTTAAAGTTAAAGTTCATCATTTAAATACCGCGTAAATTCCAACTGAATGAAAAATTCATTAGAATATGGTTGCGGAAGTAATAATGCAATCTCTTTGCAAACGAGAAGTAAAGATAATGTTTGGTTGATCTCAGAATTTTCCGAATAAATAGTTTGTATTTAAAATTCCCTCATCTTGAGAAATATATAATTTTCTTCGTAACAATATTGCGCAGTTAGACAAGCGCTACAATAACTATCGGATAAACACAGGGATTTGGAAATTGTGGAAAAACTATGTTGTCTGCCCCCAACGAAGCTTCAACAATGCCCATCTCCACCTCCACTTTATATTATGATCTACGACGTGCGCTTAAATATGAGACTTACAATTTAATTTAGTACTCGCGCGTGTATATCAGTCGGGACTTAGTAGATAAGAATGAGCTGATTTCGATTTCGCGCGAGAGTCGACGTCTCTTCGATGAGCACGGGTAAACCGGCTGATAGTACTTATCGTACTCATATAAATAGTGGCCTAAATCCTAGCTTAGGGTTCAGAGTCACACTGAAATTCATCGAGTTTGCATACTCCCGCGTGTTTTCTAGCGTACACATTTTCACGACTCGCCTCTTGCTGTAATTTCTATTCAGTCCTTATAATATTATCGAGTGTCGCATTGACAAAGCGCATTGTACAGTCAATATTACGACTGTGCAATTTTCAAATAAACGGTCGAGTTTTGTTGTATGTGTGGTAAAGACGGCACGAGAATTACGTCCTACGTAAAGGTACATATTAATTTCATTTTAATAATTTATTTCTTATATTCATTTAGTCAAATATGATAGGGTATTTTTATTAAAAAATGTTAGTCGTCAAATAACATTTCACGGTTTAAAATATTTGTTAGCTATTTTAAATAATATTTAACTGCATTTTAAATTAATTATTATAAATTTGTTGAAAAGCATAAAATGTACAATATTTTCTTTTTATATATAAAAGGCATAAATCATAGGCGGCTTTTATTTGATTGTGAAAGAAAATTGATTGGCATCATTTAAAATCGTATATAATTTATATATACGTTATAATTTCACATCTTTTATTTAAATATTTTATTTCTTACTGGAATTGCTTAAAGAGTAAAAATGATTGCGTTTTAACAAGTCAATCAATTTTATTCTTTTTCTTTCCGTTTGTTGGAACCATTGTCATAATTATAAATTCAGTTGTTATCAATGAATAAGTTTTCCCAGAATTCAATGAATTCTTGATAAATTATTTTTCATATAAGCTTTTCTAAATTCAAGAGTAATCTTTATTATTTAATCGTTATGAAAGGAAAAGGAATAGTGTTTTTAAATCATTTTTATTTAAATTAACAAAACAGATACTATATTGATGCTTAGTAAAGTTTGCATGGAAATAATTTTTCATATTTTTTAAAAATACGGTGTTCAAACAAAAATATTGGTTCTAACTAATTCTTACTTTTTAAATAATAGATCATTGCATATATAATATTTGAGAGAATTTATTCCATTAACAATATTGAGTTTTGCGTTCATTTAATAAAGTATTTCTTATCGCAACGTTCTTGAGATCCAGTAAACAGATAATATTAATTATATGATGGAGAGATAAATATTTTTTGTATAAGGAAAATTTTCTTTTCATTATTTTATTGGATCTGACAAACTACTCAATATATTTTTTATTAATTCGTTACCGCATTAAACTCGACTAATTTTTAATTTTTATATAATTTTAAACAAATAAAAAATTCATTTGGTTTTTAATGGAAAATTAGTTATCGATAAGCTTGAGAAAGCCTCGTCATTATCATATATTGTCATTGTATAAATAATTATATTTATAAACATTTAACTCTTATGTATAATAAATTATCATTATACTAATTCTAAAAGAAGTTTTTTCTGTTATTTAATCATACATATACAGGAACATGCATGGACACGCGCATCTACACATACGCGCGCCTGCGCGCGTACTCATACATGTATATATGTAATAGATTTAGTCGTGTGATTATATATGAATAATTTATGATCTTTGAAGAATTGTTATTGGACCTCGAATATATAGTTCCCTTTGAAAAGAATTTGATTAATTTGAAATTATATAATTTATATTTCATAAAAAATAATTAATTTAATTTAAAAAATATGGAAATTACGAGATGCTTAAAAATGTCATTTTTAAAAAAATTGATAAAAAATCATCATCTTATATTCAGTTATATAAAGACGAAACAAGACATAGCAATTACTAATAACTATTTACATTTGTGTGATAGGGTTCCGTTTGCGATAGGCTGGTTGACCAGTCTGTTGGGTGCTTGAGTAACAGCGGCAACTGGAAGTTGGCCCTGAACGCAGAGCCCCCGTGGCTTTGCTAGCACCCCTAACACAGATTTTGCATTACCCGCCTTCTCACGACTTTCATCATTTTAATTGACAGCTGCCTCGTAAGTATAGCAAAATTGTAATTATTAATTCGCGTTATATGAACTATTACTTATTCATTCGTTGGTATATTGTTATGAAATATGAGAACGAAGAATCTCTAATAGATATTTAAAAGAATATTTAAAATTACAAGTGTTCATAAATCAATATTTAAAGTGCACGAAAAAACATTGGGAATATATTTGTTTTATAAAATAAATACAAATAAAATATAATACATTAATAATGTTAAAAACTATAGGAATAAATGCAATTATATTTTTTTTATTTCATTATGTTGTTCAATATTATTCTTTTTATGATAATTAAATTAATAATTTATTTTATACTGAGATATTAATACATATCAATTGAAATATATTAATAAACATTCTGTTGATAGTAAATTTTTTAATAACACTTCTAACCTTCGGTTACTTTGAAATTTTTCATTTAATTTTCAACAACTTTTTATATGGATTTAAAATAATCAATTTTGTATAAACATGATTATGTTAAACAGCACATTTTTTTATATAAATATATTTTACACTTTTTTCAGTCCTAACAATGAAATCCTTACTAATTATTTACCTATTTTACCTATTTTAATATTTTTCTGTTCTTAATCTTTATATCTTTATAATGCTGTAAATGAAGTGTAAGCAAAAAATTAAAATATTATTTTGGCTTTTCATATAGATCCATTAATATTTTTACTAATTAATAGTTATTCAAATTGTATTTTCAATAACGTAAATATTTTTCAATAAAATAAAATATTTTTTATTTTAGTTTGCTGCCTAGCTACCACAGAGTTCTATAGATTATTATTTACTCCTAAACCGAATAAAAATGAAGGTTACAAATCTGGACGAACGCATTCATGTGCTGAGCAATACTTCTACATTGATGACCGTAATTAAGGACATCGCTAATAGTGGTTTGCAAGAAGAGGCGTTTTACGTACTTGACGTCGGAGACATCGTACATAAACATCAGATTTGGAAAGAGAAATTACCTCGTGTCGAACCCTTTTATGGTAATGAATATTAATTAAAAGTTTTTTCAAACTATTTTTATAATGTATTTTTGTAAGAGTAACGTTATTTTATATTTCTTATAGCTGTTAAATGCAATGACAGTCTGACTGTATTAGAAGTACTTGCTTCACTTGGCATTGGTTTTGACTGTGCATCAAAAGTGAGTTTCTAATAATATACCAGATATGTTTTATTTCACATTTATGCATTAAATGTAAAATTATTTATAAACTATTTAATACTTCCAGAATGAAATTAATAAGGTTTTGGAAATTGGCGTCGACTCTTCAAGAATCATTTTTGCTAATCCTGCTAAACCAGCTTCACATATCCGCCATGCCGCTGCTGTTGGAGTAGATACGATGACGGTAGATAACGAGAGTGAATTACATAAGATCAAAAAATTGTTCCCTTCGGCTAAGGTAAAGTAGTTTCAATTGTTTATAACACTCCCTGCATAAGCTGCGTATGAATTATGCTTAAACAAACAATGCAGTATATATTATGTTGATTTATTTTTGTAGATTGTACTTCGGATTCGTTGCGATTCAGAAGTGGCTCAATGCCAGCTTGGTATGAAATTCGGCTGCGACCCGACCTACGAAGCTCCGAGTTTACTGCGTTTATCGAGGCTTCTGGATCTTGATGTAATTGGAATTAGTTTTCATGTTGGATCCGGTTGCCAAGATCCACCAGTTTTTAATCGTGCCATTTGTCATGCTAAAAATCTCTTTAATTTGGCTTCTGACATTGGATTTAAGCCTTATTTACTCGATCTTGGTGGTGGTTATCCAGGTGATAAGGGTACCAGTATTGATAAAATTGCTGATGTCATCAATCATGCACTAGATGAACATTTTCCATGTATGTATATATTTATTAATTAAAATTTTAGCCATTTATTGTGATGTGATATTTTATATTTTAAATAATAATATCAATATTATTCTTTATATTACAAATATATTCATTTTTGTTTTGATATTAACTTATTTAAACACAAATAATGAAAAATGAAAAATCCGAAGATGACCATTTTTATTAAAAATATAGTTATTTATTTTATGTAAATAATATTTTTTTATTTGCAGCTGATAATCTGCATATTATTGCTGAGCCAGGAAGATTTTACGTTGCTTCAGCTTTTACCCTTGCCACGGCAATACATAGCAAACGTTCTATTCGAACTGATGGAAATTCACCAGGTGCAGTGACTCATAACATGTATTATATTAATGATGGTGTATATGGGTCCTTCAATTGTTTATTATATGATCACCAACACGTGACGCCAATGCCGTTGCGTAATGGCCACGGTAAAATGATTCCATCGAGCATTTGGGGTCCAACTTGTGATGGGCTCGATCAAGTTGTAGAAAACGTATTAATGCATGAAATGGAACTCGGTGATTGGATTATTTTTGAGAATATGGGAGCTTACACTTTACCTGTTGCTTCTCCATTCAATGGTTTCCCAATTCCAAAAGTTCATGTTGTAGCTGATGAAAGCATTTGGTAATTCTTTTATACATCCTTTTTTGTATAACAATTAAATTTTGTCTTTAAAGTATTTCTTTCCTATTTTATTTTTTTAATACAATGTAATATTTTGTTTAATAAGTATATTATAATTTATGTTTCTAATTAGAAGTACCTAACATTTTTTCTATATAATTTAGGCTTTTATTGAAAGATGCTCTACCACTGACTGAAGATCATTTTGTAATTGGAGATACTCCTGCTAACTTGCGCCTTGGTTTGGATATTGGTGGTACTGATGTTAATGTTTGGAATAATTCTGTCATGGAATTAGGTTCCTCTGAACTTAGTTCAGAAGAAGAAATTTTGATTGATTCAGCTACACCACCACCTTTTATCTATGATTATGTAGAGGTTGATCCGCTGAACTGAAAATGATGCACAAGATGCAAATTAAAGTCTCATTATTATGCAGGGAATACTTGGCCTTATGGTGTACTTAATAATAACATTAGTGCATTTTAAATAATATTCAAGTTAATGAATATAACATTCCTTGTTTATAGTGAATAATAACAAATAAATGTATTATATGTAATTTTCTGTAAAACAGCCAAGTGTTTCATTGTAAATAAGGGACTTTATTAATGTTACAAGAACAAGTACAACACAGCTTTGACTATGCGCCTGCAAAAGTTATAAAATTTTTGAATGTTTACTTTTTGGAGAACATACTATAAACATTACAGTATATTGATACATTTTTAAAAGTAGTATAAATATATACAACAGTACTAAATAAAACAGTATACTTATATTGAATTAAAGGAAATTTATAATTTGTGATCTAGACGGTTGTTAACGCCAATTTTATCTGGTTACATATAAGCCTAAAATATTATTTTCTTAAGTCTTAAAAAGTATTTTGATCGTCTAACATCTCTGATTGTAATATCAAGTTTCTATATCAACATATTTAAAAGAAAGCAAGGAATAGTTTTGTAAGGCAGAGATAATTTGTTTGGTAGTACTTAATAAAACAAGCTCATTTTTAAGGTACGATCTTCTATATTAAAAAGCATGCCTATAGTTGAAGAGTAATCGTTGCTCTTCTTCACATGCATGTATATGTATTTAAATAGGTGTTGAAATCATGAAAATTTTTAAATTAGAAGCGAAGTCAGTTAGTATTTAATATGATTTAAAGTTTGAAGTAATTAGCAAATATAAAATGCATGTCATTCTAGATAAATTTACAACTATGAGATACATGTTAACGAGTTGACGATTTCATAAATATTTGTTATTAACTATCTTTGCATTTTTTATGCCGTAAGATTACACTTTTTGACAATGATTAGCATCGCGATTTTACACTGTATTTTTAATATTATAGAATGCTAAAGAAATTATAATTTTTTCTGAAAATCGAATGAAAGCATTGGGCAAGGTTTTTAAAGTTGGAACGTTCTCTATATACAGAAAAAGAAGCATAATATGTATTTTCTAAGCAAAAAATTTACTTGTAACAATCATATTGATATGCATTAAATATTAATATAAAAGATAATAAAATAAAAATTTCCAATAATATAAAAAATGAATTGGGAAACAAAAAAATTTCAACTCTGTAGGTGTGCTAGGAACTCTTAAAAAGGCATTGAGGCAGCTGTCAGAAAGTAAAAAAGACAATTAGGTTTCATTATTATAATTACCCTTATTGTATTATACTCAGATATTAATTATTATTATTTTAATTATTATTGTTATTGTTAATTAATTATTCGCGAACTCTCACGTGTAATGAACTACAGTAGATCAATAAATTGTATTTGCAGACGTATTTTGACTAATCGACTATTTAAAAATATATACCTTATCCATTATTTTTAATTCACATTCACATTTTATTTTAATTTTAGAATATTATGTTTATTAACTTAATAGCTTATAGATAGAGTGTATTGAAGTATTTAATCTATACATTTAAGATATTAAAACTTGGATAGAAATTGTTAAAATTTGAGTATAAAATCAGTTCACCGAAAAAATAATCTCATTTTTATACAAATAAAAAGGAATGGAAAGTAAAACAATAATGGATTTTAGTTGAATTTAGTTTTGCAATGAAAAAATACATGAATATCTATTCATAAAGTAAATATCATTGGAAATTATTTTTTATTTTTTATAAATAATAATGTACATTAGAATTATTAACGCTAGTGCAACATTATTAGGAATTCAATAAAAATGTGTTATATACAATTTTTAGTTAAGTTTGATAAAAATTTTATTTCAGTTTCACGTTAGAAACTGCAATCTATTATTTTATTAAATTTAATAAATATAGATGAATATTCATATAAAATGAATAATTTTTTTATGAACGTAATTTTAAATTTGATTTTCCAGATAAAATAATTTTATTTTTAAACATTGTATTACCTATAAAAGATTGAATATATAAAATATGTAAATTTACATATTAATTCAATGCTAAAATTAAAATAAAATTTGATTAATTATAATTGAAATTGAAGTATTTTTTTATTGTATAAACTGTAAAATTAATTTGCATTATTTAATTGTTCTTGTTTATCTACATCAATATTTTATATATTTATTTATTAGTTAGATAAAAATAAACATTTTTTTACCAGAAACAAGCATATTTACAAAGTCACGTGAACATTTTCTCGAAAATAAAATTTCTATTTAAATATAAATAAATAAGGTATGTTTCAATTGTATAAACAATGATTTTTTAAAACTACTAAAAGGGGTTTTATTCTTGAATAATAATTTATCGTTTCATTAGAATCTTGAAATACTACTGTAGTAGAAAAGAAAGGTATGTTAAGTTTTTGTAATATAACAAAAGTTCTACTTTATAATAAATTTATATATAATTTGAGAAATATTCAATTTAAAATCATAAAAGTCATAAATCTTAAAATTTATCATGTTAAATTGAAGAAAAACAAAATTACCATAAAGCTTGAGAAAAGAAATAATAAGATAAGCAGTCTTATTTTTAGTATAAAAAGGATAAATTTTAATAAAGTCAAACATTAATAATATGCATCAGTTAAATATTTTTTATGCACAATAAAGTAATGTAATTTAATATGAAATATAGAAATTTAATAGCTTAAAAAATGAATGAATTTATTTTAATAAAAAGAAGAAAAATGGTTCAGGTATTCAGCATCATTTTATATTTTCTTCTTAACGTAAAAGTTATCTTTATAATATAGTTTTAAAAAATGAATTGCCAAATAGATAATTAAACATAACTGCGATAGACGACTCTAAAAAATTCATTTCATTTAAGAGTTTAATACTTTAAATTAAAGTGTAGATATTATTTTATTTAACATCATTGAAAAAATTAAAATGAATTTAAGTAATTTATATTGTTAGATATTAAACATATTTTTTTATAATTTTCGATTTAGAATTAAAATTATAAGATATATTTATTATATTAATTATAATATAATAATTAATACTTCCATTATATAATATTATTATTTTTATATTATTCTATTATTCTTATATTCCCACTATTTAAAAAATGATATTTAATTAAACTTTTTATTAAAGATGTTAATGTTAATTTATTTAGAACATATGTAATGACGATATTACAAAATATTTTGATAACTGAAAAAGTAATTACCCAATTGTGTATTTGATTGTGCAAGGTAGAAAGAATAACCTTTGAATATGTACATACAATATTTATGTATATTATATATATCACGACACTAAATATACGGCAATTACGTCTACAAGAACTTTGCAAAAAATTAAATAAATTAACTTTCTCGTTGGTTGTTTAGTAAGACTCCAGGTTATAGAATCAATAACTAAGTGATTGCATAATTAAATGTGATATAAAAAGTCGTTACTTTTTTCGTATTATTTTCTATTTTTCCACGACAAGCATTATATCTATAAACTTTAGGGTATCGTTACAATATCAGAAAGCTACGGGGTCGCGTAAATAATAATGCGCCTCGCACATAAAACGTCTGCGCTAATTATGGCAATGGGAGCAAGTAGTTATATTGTAAAAGTATAACACTAGGCAAGATTAGTAATATCAGAATATCAGTAACGAAATATAATTGAGCAGAGAAAGACGGAGGCGCTATTAAGACGTTACAAAGCGGGAACGAGAAAAGAAACCAGCATCGAGTATTGCGAGCTTCGCAGGGATTGTGCAATTTCGGAGCTGTATAGATCTGTCAAGGAAGCGAGACCAGTTCAGCGAAGCATCAAGTTTACCTAACAACCGATTAGCGATCAAAGCATAGAAAACCCTTCTCTCTTTCATCGCTCGCCGTTAATTAATAAAGTCTCTGGAGGAAGTGGGCTATGCCTTGTGGCCTATATCTTTGATCCTATCAAAGTTCTTACCAATCGAGCATTTTAATATTAGTTTTCTTCTTCTGTAATCACGGGTTTTAACAGTAACAAATTATGGGTATGGGAATTCTATGATCTTTCAAATTTATGTAAATTAACTAGCTGACCCTTTACTTGTAATTGTTTCAAATATTCAAGCTTCGTGAAAATATATTCATCTTATTCACTTCCAATTCAACTAGGGCCTTCAAATGACTTCAACTTATTATGTTTGTTCCAAGCAAGATAAATCTGTACTTTTCGATTCTGTATATTATAAAAATAAACAGAAACATTTCAAAGAAGTTATACAAAAAGTTTCTGTTAGTCGATTTTTAATTATATTTAGACCATTTTTTTATAAAACAATATAGTTCTTACAACGCATAATATTTAATTATCTAATCATCAATAATGAAATACATAATGCTGTACAAGATTTTTCATAAGATGATATACTTTTAAAATTTTTTTATTACAATTGATAACTCAATTATTTAATTTTTTGGCCATTCTAATTTTACATTATGACAGGTTATATTACAACCTATTATTTATTAAAAAATGTTTTATAATAAATATTCAATTCTTCGATAAGTCATTTTTAAATATATATATTACTTTTATTACTACATTACTTGTACATATATATATATATATATATATATATATTTCAATTCAAATTATACTAATATAAATTATAAATAAATATACATTAGTATTAATCCTTATTTTCAAATTACATAAGCTTGAAAATTCCTTATTGTATTTGCAAATTACAAAAGCACCATTAATGATTAATGACTCTAAATTATTGTAAATTTTCATTTACTACATTTTAATTTTTAATATTAAATTTTTAATATTTCAAATATCAAGATTTTGATTTATTACAAATAAAAAAATTTCTAATAGTCTTCTTACTCTATAGTAAATATTTTATAAAGTCAGAAAAAATAACTTATTGTTTTTAATATAAAAATAAAGCAAGGAATAACTGGATATTAAATTCAATTAAATAGTCAAAAAGTATCTGTAATAAAAGACTTATAAAAAAAATAGTAATTGCAAAAAGTAAATCAATAAAAATGAATAAATTTATTTTAATGTCTCTTTTCTTTTTATAAATTAATAGGTTTAAAGACAAATTAAAAATCACCATTGCTACTGATATTATCTTTATTTACAGTCTGTCTTTCTAACAATTTCTTAACTTTGCTTTAAAATCATATTGTTAGATTATTTTATTTATTGAACTTGAATATTATATATTAATTAATTGATAATATTTCAAATAATTATTATATATTAATGAATGCTTGGTAAAGTAACTTTAATTTTCATAACGAATTTATATTCATTCAATTGTATAATACATAAATTACCTTATAGAATATTAAAGAATTTTTCATGTGCATCCAAATTTTCTGTACAATGACATCTACTTTTTAAAAGAATTGTGACTTTAAAAAGTTATTTTTCTTCCTAATCTTTCGGTTTGTCTAATCATAAAAAATCATTAAGAAATTTTTTAAATTATAACGAAAATATTGAATATTCCTTTACAGATTTGGTGAAAAATGTTAAGGATTTCCAAAGATATACGAAATAATATAATACAATAATGTAAGATTGTGTAATTTTATTTTTATTAGATCTAAAAGCTATTGAATGCTTTTAATTAGTTTGATTAAATATTAGCCTATTACATCTTGTGCTGTAAATTCATTTCATAATTAATCGCCTCTGATAGATTTTGT